ATAGATTTAACCGCTGTAGGTTTTTGAACCGAGGAAGAGTTATGGGCTCTCTCTCTCTCTCTCTCTCTCTCTCTCTCTCTCTCTCTCTCTCTCTCTCTCTCTCTCTCTCTCTCTCCTCTATGAACCCATTGGAGCAGATGGAGCACAGTTCTTTCAATGGTTTTTTTCTCCTTTGTTTAAACGAGGCCCAACATATCTTGCCTTTGCCCATTGTCTGGCGCCCTGGGAAATGACAAAAAAAGTATGAGAGATCTGCGTTGCGGTTCCCCACGCGGCAGTGCCCTCCCAGGACCTCTTACGTGCCAGCTATTTTTGCTGGGCCTGCGGGGCCGTTAGCTGAGGACCGCTTTAGCCTCTAGGAGGTATAGAGACATGTGTTTACACGGACGACTAAGTATAGACTTAACCGCTGTAGGTTTTTGAACCGAGGAGGAGTTATGGGCAGTCTCTCTCTCTCTCTCTCTCTCTCTCTCTCTCTCTCTCTCTCTCTCTCTCTCTCTGAACCCATTGGAGCAGATTGAGCACAGTTCTTTCAATGGGTTCTTGTGAGCTGTACTTTCTCCTTTATTTAAACGAGGCCCAACATATCCTGCCTTTGCCCATTGTCTGGCGCCCTGGGAAACGACAAAAAAAGTTTGCGAGATCTGCGTTGCGGTTCCCCACGCGGCAGTGCCCTCCCGGGACCTCTTGCGTGCCAGCTATTTTTTCTGGGCCTGCGGGGGCCATTAGCTGAGGACCGATTTAAGCCTCTAGGAGGTATAGAGACATGTGTTTACAACTTTACACGTACGACTAAGTATAGACTTAACCGCTTTAGGTTTTTGAACCGCAGGAGTTATGGGCGATATTGATCCTTCCTGCCGTCTTTATGAGAATAAAACACCTGCTCATTATAGCTGTATCCAGACTGAAAGTCCCCCCAAATACAGCTACGAAGACCGTCCCACGTGTTCTATTCGGGTGAAGACAATAGTCTCTGTGGATCTATGCTAAGGTGTCCTTGCCATCTTCCTTGTATTATTGCTCCGTTCATTGTGACAGAGTGCCTGAGGAGTTTGTAGCCCTGGGAGGTTGTTGATTCTCGCAAATTATACTCTGGTGATTAGTATACTAAATGGTCCCTTTCTGCTTAATCAAGTGAATGTCACCGAATTCAGTGAATTGGTGAATTTTGAAAATAACAATGAATTTGATGACCCACCTGCAACCTGAGTTATCATTTTGGGTTACGTTTCATGGATTTCTCCATCGTCAGTAACACGAGGTACTGGCTCTGGCGCATGGTCCTGATGGCTGGTGTCTCCGGAGGGCCCGCATAGCTCTGAATTGCAACAGAATGTAAAAGAACACAAACAATGCGCAAACAACAGTTATTTCCCATGACTGACTCAAATGAGCTCCAGGGATGTACCTGACAACTGATATTGAACCAAGCCAACTCGGCATTGTCCTGACTAAACCTCCACAAATCAGGTTGTATGCCATTTGTATAAAGCACCTTCACATGCAAAAAAGGGCTAAAGAAGCCAGTCCATGACTTAACAAAAGTAAAATGCTACCTTCGTTTCCTTGTACATTCAATAGAGTGAAACTTACATGCCAGCCCAGGAGAGACGGCCTAAGAAGAACTCCTCGCAAGATCCAAAGCAGAATTAGCCAATTGGAGCACTTGGAAGGCAAAAGGTCTACGCATGAAAGCTCGGATTAAAGAATGGGAAGAAGGAGAAAAAATGACTAAGTTCTTTTCCCAGAAAATTAAAGAAAGAGGAAGAAACGCAGCCATTCATCAGTTAAGAGAAGAGGAAGGACTTGCGTCAACCCCAACGGAAATGCTATCTATAGCCGAATCCTTCTACGAAAACCTATATACTTCCAAAACCAAGCAACCAACTGCTAGGTCAGTCCTTCGGCCAAGAGAGAAATTTACCAAATACCTGGACCAAACTGCGAGGAATGAGCCCTCGCGGGGCCCTTATCAGACATGCACATGTTCTGGGCAGAGGCCCCCAGCAAGCCAGGTGCCCGCCCTAAGTGAAGGCGGGCCTGAATATTCACGAGAGCCCAAAATTGAAAATTTGACATTTTTCATATGTGGGTACTCAGGCTGTTACAGCCCGCCAGTTGGTTGAGTGGACGCGTGAGCCTCCCTAAGCTGCGTTGTACAGTTTGGCCCAGGCCGTGGCAGTTGCGCCTGGGCACATACACACAATTGTTACATACTTAAATGAGTATGGGCAGAACCAAAGATCAACCAATGTAGGATGAGCATATATGCAGCGGAAGTCTGATAAACGGACTGACTCACATAGACTGACTCACATAGACTGACTCACATAGAATCACTCCACACACATACAATCGTGAGATGGTGGGGTCTGGGCCAAGCATGGATGATGCCCAGATCCCGTACACACATACACAGATGAAAGGTGGGAGGAGAGACGAAGGAGGTGGGGGAGGTAGACAGCACCG